AGGTTTAAAAACTTGCTATCTAATGGATAGGCTAATCCCTTATTAAACAAAAGGCTGTTTGTTTTGATTTGCATCTTTCTATACATCCAGTCCTCGATAGACCGAGTAGTCGATGGGTCACTTAAAGTCACAACTGCATGGCTTGATTCACTTCCCACAGAATGCATTTATGATTATCTACCGGGTGTTTTCACAAGTTTAAAATTTAGTTCACTCAAGTGTTAAGCTATATGCAGTGCATTGGTTGTAATCAAGTGGAGCTATTTGAAGTCGTATATGGTTGTGGTACCTTAAAGTGGTGGAGGTTTTTCAAGGGGTGGAATAATCCCTAGCTCATTTTAGCCTCTTTAAATCTTGTGAAATTTTATGGGCGATGATGGCACGAAGTGAGCTCGAGTATCAGGGGCAAGTTTTGGAGGAGGTGGGCAGGCACTGGGAGGGAACAAATAGAATGCGTTACGAGGCAAGAATAACAAAGCAAGTTAAAAAATCGCATTAGAATTCAACATCTGCTTACTGTGAACTTAAAAAACACATCACAAGTTACGCTTTTACTTTCTTGAGCACCAAATAATAAGCAATATGAGCCTGTTTGTATATCTATCTCAGTTCCATACATCTCTTCTTCCAATAATCACTAATCGCTGTCTTGGAAACAAGTAGTCATTTTACACTAACCTTCAGCCAGCCAATGGTGATACGTCTGCTGCCATCACTATTACCACCACCACCACTGTTGGAGAACAGCAATTTGACCAGTTTCGTACCCAGCTCCTTTCATCGGTGCATTGCATCCCATTTTTTGCTTCAAATGCTCCTACCGTGGTAAATTGCGTCTTGTCCTCTAGTCCTGCACCATCCTCTTTCCCAGTGAGATAAGACAGGAACGTCCCTTTTATTCATTTAAATTGAATAATTATAGACTAGCTCTTTGCTGGTAGAAAAGTAACGACGACTGCACACAAAGAAAGTGTTGTCCAAAGAAAAGGCGGCGTATCGGTGTTTGATGGGTACTTTGATGAGTGCTGAGTTTTGTGCAGCGCAGCGTCTCACTGGAATCCAATGTCCTCAATGTCGTATGGCAATGGTGAACGGCCCGTCATCGCTGGTGTCAAGTTGCAATTCCGTCTGTTGCCTCCCTAAGAACCTGTGTCGTCGGTCGATTGGTTTGCCTTCACGGCAGCAACAACAATAATAACAACAAAGCCACC